GTTGCTGTCCTTTTGTTCTTCAGTCTAGTTGTGGAGGATGTCGCTTCACTGGCCCATGTTGGTATTATCATTGCGCTCTTCCTGGGTGAGGCAGTTGCTCACCAGCCATTGGACGGCCGCTCACGGCGGCTCATGGCAGCTCACCCTAGCTGCTGGCCACTCACGCTGGCTGCCAGCCACTCACGGTATGCTCATGGCAGCTCACTGCAGCAGGGGCTGCAGCCTACGCCATCACCGTTGACTCACGGCAGCCCAGCTCCAGGTCGAGCTGTTGTTCACCATCTTAACTGTAGAGGGCGCAGCGTCACAGGCCCTCATGTGGGATCCCAACCAGGGCCCTCCTGCTCACAGCTTGCATCCCAAGCCAACTCTTAACCAACGTGCCACTTGGTTGGCCCTGTGTTTTGCTTTTCAAGTCAAGACTTTTTTAATTGCAAGGAAGAGAAACCCTTATATATTAGTTTTAAGTGAAAATCAGTGAGAGAATAATGGATGAATTAATAAAGTAAGGCTTTATTACATGGAGAGGGAGTATATATTAGAACCAATGGCTTGAAAAACAAATGAGTCTTATGAGAGACTATAACTGGTGAATGGAAAACTATTGGGAACCAAGGGAACCACCATATTTCATCACATCTCAGATAACAGTGATCACAAAAGACACAGTTATTTTTGTACCAGTAAGGAGGAGGAAGAATATCTAACAATTTGTGGGAGAATGCATTAATGGTAGTCCTACATGATGTATGGATGCATGAATTGACGACATTCACCTCTTGTTGCTTTGACATTCCTTTCATCTCTTCCTAGGCTTTTGGCAGTTTCTCCTGCTTCACTTGAATTATTTGGTGTGTAATAGGCAATGTCTTTGCACCTCTTTAAATGAAGATGTAGCAAAGCTCCTGATTGTTGGCTCCACCACAAATTAGCTGTGTAACTCTAGACAAAGCTTCTTTGAGCTCTAGTTTCTCTTCCTGTGAGAATTAAATGAAAGCATATGTGTATGCAATACATGGCAGTTCTCTTCTGTTAAGAGGAAGGATAGCAATGGCCTAGGTAGTTTAAGAGGACATCTGATGAAATGAGTGTTTTGGTTTTTTTTAAGGTTGAGGAGACCTTTTGTTTTGCAGGCCATTAAGTGAGAAGGCATTAGAGAGTGAAATAATTAAGACTTGATTTGAGAGGGAATACTTTGTGAAGAAAGAGTACCTGAGGAGGTGATGGGACAGTGATGGCAAGTACAGGAAGAGTTAAACTAGGAAGGAGTGAAAAGTCATTTTGAAATAGGAATGAGAGGAAAAGCGAGCATTTGATATCTGCTAGGCACTAGAGTTACAAAGATGATTAATGAGTTATGGTCTTTTTCTATAAGGAGATGATGGTCTCCGTAAGGCAAATGTAGACTTAAGGTGAAACTGAGAGATGCATTGATGTAGTTATAAAGATGTTTGGTAGCGTAGAAGAGAAGCTTAGGGATTGATTCTTACAGAATATGATTCTTGAACAGAATTTTGAATATGTAAATGCCTGGCTTGAACTTTTTTCTTTAGGCTGTGGGGACTCATTAAGTTAATGAGTTTTAAAGTTGTATATAGTAGGTTTATCTTGACTATATTTTCTTCTAGAAAGATTGCACTCATTTAGGAATGATTGGAAACGGAAGGCCTACTGATAGCTAGGAGATAGGGGATTTTACCAGTGGTTTCGGTGAGATACTATGAAAGTTTGAACTAAGAGTAGTGGCAGGAAGGAGAATTTAGTTAATTCTCACTTGTTGACTACACATATAGGTGGTAGTGGAGAGGTAAGAGTTTAGAATTGAAGGACCATTTACAAAATAATTGTAGAATCAAAACCACAGTGAGATATCACTTTATACCCACTAGGATGGCTATAATCATAAAGACAGATAATAAACAAGTGTTGGTGAAAACACAGAGAAATTACAACCCTCATATATTACTGGCAAGAATATGAAATGGTACAGTCACTTTGGAAGATAGTTGGGCAGTTCCTCAAAAGGCTAAACATAGTTACCTTATAACCTAGCAATTCCACTCCTAGATATATAACCAAGAAATTTGAAAACACATGTCCACAAAATACATGTACATAACTGTTTATAGCAGTATTAGTCATAATAGCCAAAGAGGAGAAACAACCCAAATGTCTACCAATTGATAAGCAGAAAAACAAAATGTAATACCCGTATAATGAAATTAAGTACTGGCACATGCTATAACATGGATGCACCTTGAAAACATTATGCTAAGTAAACAAAGCTAGTCACAAAAGACCATATAGCACATAATTCCATTTATGTGACATGCCCAGTATAGGCAAATCTATAGAGATAGAAAGGTTAGTGGTTGCGTAGGGCTCGGGGGAAGGTTGAGGAGAAATGGGGAGTAATTGCTAATGGGTACAGGGTTTTTTTCTTTGGTGATGAATATGTTCTAAAATTGATTATGTGATGGTTGTACAACTTTGTAAAAATACTAGAAACCATTAAAGTGTGTACTTCAAATATGTGAATTATATCTCAATAAAGCTATTATAAAAATTAGTATAAAGATTAACTTTGTGAGGCTTAGATGCTTCCAACTTTGGACTTGTTTTTCTTGAGGTACACTTCCCATATCCAGTTAGATAATTAGATAAAACTAGTCCAAGGCTCAGTGGTGAGCTTAGGTCCTTGGAAGTGACTGACATCAAGATGACAGTAATGTGCAGCAAATCATCACTTAGTACACCTTAAATTTTACACAGTGTTATTGTTAATTATATTTCAACAAAGCTGGCGGAAAAAAGATGATGGGCAACATTGTGATATAATGAATGAGTTAATTTACTAAGGGAAAAGATGATTAATTTGGAAGATAAAGATAACATCAAAAGTCAGACCAAGGAAAAAGAAAACTAGAGAGCAACAGAGAGAATGGCTCGAGAACCAGGGAAAAGAAGTGTGTCACAGAAACCAAGGGAGGAAACTGTGTCCAGGAAGGTGTTCTCAGCAGGATCAGTTATGTTGGCCCAGAAGGGTTGACTTTAAAAGTACTCATGAGAATATGTTTTCCAGGCCACTTTGTGAGAATAGTCATAGCATCCTGATAGGGAACAGAAGCCAGTTTCCAATTAGGTAAAAGAGACAAAGTACCCAAGTAGCGAATAAGTAGAGAAGATGAAAGTAAATTGAATTTTTATAATTTTATTTTATTTATTTATTTTATTTATTTATTTTTTTTAAAGATTTTTTTATTAGGGAATTGGGGGGATGGGAACAGTGCTGGGGAATTGGGGGAAGGGGAACAGACAAGTTGCTGTCGTTTTTGTTCTTCAGTCTAGTTGTGGAGGACGTTGCCTCACTGGCCCAAGTTGGCACCATCATTGCGCTCTTCCCGGGTGAGGCAGATCAGTCGCCGGCTTCTGGACGGCCGCTCACCGCGGCTGCTGGCCGCTCACACTGGCTGCTGGCCGCTCACGGCAGCCCATGGCAACCCACCGCCACAGGGACTGCAGCCCACGCCATCGCCGGCGACTCACGGCAGCCCAGCTCCAGGTTGAGCTGTTGTTCAGCATCTTAGCTGTGGAGGGCAGTGTCACTGGCCCTCATATGTGGGATCCGAACCGGGGCCCTCTGGCATCCCAAGCGAGTTCTTAACCATCGCGCCACTCGGCCGGCCCTGAATTTTTATAATTTTAGATGCACAGCTTCAAGAGAAAGGAGATTGCTTGAAGGGTGTGCATGGTTCAGGTAATTTAGTTTTTTAGGATTTTTTTTATTAAAGTTTATCGGGCTGACAGTGGTTAGTAAAGATACATAGGTTTCAAGTGTACAGTTCTATAATACATTATCTATATATCACATTGTGTGTTCATCACCCAGACTCAGTTCTCCTTCTGTCATCATATATTGAATCCCGTTTACCCTCATCAACCACTCCTCTGTCTCCTTACCCTCTGTAGTTTAGTTTTAAGATGGAAGAAGAGATGTGTTTTCTTTTTAGTAATTGGTGCTGAAACTTGGCTAGCTATTTATGGGGAAATTGATTTAGAAATTTCTTCACACCAAAGAGCAAAGTGAATTAAAACTCGAAATGGAATAAAAAGTTTCAAGTGATTAAAAAATAGTAGTGAATATCAGTTATTTGCTGGGTGTTAGGTACAAGAATTTTCTAGTTTCAAAGTAATAAATATTGAAAGACTAAAAAGAGGCGTGTAAAGAGAAGTGACAACTAAATGCAATGTAGGATTCTTAAATGGATCTTGTATCAGATAACAAGGCTAGCTATAAAGAACATAATTGGGGCACTGAAATAAAAAAGTAGTAGGCGAAAACTAAATGGGGAAAATTAAGAAGCAGTTTGGCAGGAAAAAAACTAAACACTGAGTACATAAATAGGTAAAGGATAAGAACAGACATTTTACAAAAGAGGAATTATGTATAATTTTTATACATGGAAAATTTTCACCCCCAAAAGTGTTTAGAAAAGCTTAAACCAGATTTCACCTATGAAATTTAAAAAATTATCAGTAAAGAAAAATCTTAATTCTGAGTTAAGAGACAATGAAACTCACCTCATGTACTGCTGATAGCAATATACTTCTCAAGATGTGATTTGGTAATAATAGTTATTAAGCCTAAAAACCTCTCATTCTAAAAATTAAACTGTATGTTTAAAATGAAATGACACAAAGTAAAATGAAGAAGCTAGATTATGATGCTAATTTCTAAAACAGGAAAATCATCTTAAATTGGTTCTCATAGAATTCTATACAAACATTTAATATTGTGTTTTCAATAAAATGACGGAAAAAATCCTTATTATGTAATAAGGGAGGAATGCATCTTGATAATACTGTATAAGCATTTTATGTTGAATTTTATAGTGCTGTTACAAGTTATATTACTATTGTCCTTGCCATTTGATCGACTTATTCCATTTTAGTTAATAGATTTTACTAGGAGGAGTTGGGGGGTGGGTTGGGACACGAACTCTTAATTATAGAAAGGCTCATATATAAGACACTGAAGGCATGGGCTTCGCCTGTCACGTTCACTGCTGTATTACCTCTGTTAGGTGGGTGCCTGGCACACAATATCCATTCAAGAAGTACTTGTCTTAGAGAAATGATATATAAACTTTGATTCTAGTTACCAAAGTTTATAACAACAGGGGACATACGTAAGTTATGAGATGAAAAATAAGCTTTAAAATTAAACCTATCACAAAGTTGTTAGACTTTAGGTAGGAAGTTAGGAATGAAATATACATAAATATTGCCACTGGTTATTTATGGGATTTGGAAATTTGGCTGAAAAAAATTTTATGCAAAAAGTTTTTATACTTTTCTGTCTTCTCTAACATTTCCCCAGTAAGTATGCTTTCTTTTGCAGTGGGGAACACTTCACCATAAAAGATTAGTAAATTTTAAATAGTTTCACTAATAAGGAATATTTGTGTGATGTAAATGAGTTAGGGGATTAGGACTTCACCTTTTTTTTTTTTTGATCAATTAATTTGTGGCTTGGATTTTGAAATAGTTTTATAGAAAATTATATTTATGTTAATGAATTTTTACTGGCATTATGATATGTTCCTGCTGTGAATTTGAGTATACTACTTTCCCCCAAAATGTAATTTTGCCTGTATGTGATTTTAAAAGTACATTATGATATTACTTCTCATTTTTTTCTTAGGAAAGTCTCTGGACCTTTGACTCACCCATTTAAATTAATAAGTTGGTAGGGAAACTAGGAAATGATTACGTAGAAACTCAATTCTGGTATTTGGATCATATACTTTCTACAAATGAAGAACAGATTCAGTAGTTGCCATTTTTTCATTTTGTTGTATAGTGAGTGCTCACTTAACATCACTGATAGGTTTTGTAACTTTTAAGCAAAACGACATATAATGAACCAGTTTTACTAGGCCAATTGATATAAACAAGATTTAAATTCCTACAATGTTGAATGTTATTTGAGGACCTGCTGTATTTACTAATGTAAATGTTGGGCATTATCTATGTGCTAGGTATCTTGAAGTTTTGCATGGATGAAGAAGATAGCTTACATTCTTATTAGGTTTGTCAGGTGGATCCTATTTGGTAAAACCTGTCGCCTTCCTAGGAGATTAACAGATTCCATTTTGGAAATTAACTGCTCTATATATTCATTGCTTTATACAGGTACTGTGGTAATCAGGACCATATCTCTAATAGATATTTTATGTATAACCAAATTACTTTAAATATTTTAAACAGAACTCTTATTCTCTAATTTTGCAGTTGATAAAAATGGTGATGTATGCATTTCTATTCTTCACGAGCCTGGGGAAGATAAATATGGCTATGAAAAACCAGAGGAACGCTGGCTCCCCATTCACACCGTGGAAACCATCATGATTAGTGTTATTTCTATGCTGGCAGACCCTAATGGAGACTCACCTGCTAATGTTGATGCTGCGGTAAGGTGGCCACATGCACACATCTCGCCTCCCCTTTAATTAAATGCAGTTAGGATGACAAACAATGTCTTTATGTAGATATCTGTGTGTATATGTGTGTACAGATTCTCCTCAATCTGCAAAAATAAGTTACAGACATAATTAAGCTTCATCCCTAAATACTTAAACCTGTGTCTTTTAAGAATGTGGATACCGTCTTACATAACTATAATGCTGTTATCATACCTAAGAAAATTCAATACCAAGTCCTTATTAAAATCTATATTGTTATTCCCAAATTTTTATTTTCAACATTTTCAGATCTACGAAAATGTTGCATTAATTCAATAAGCACTCCTATACCCTTCACCTAGATTTACCAATTTGGAGATTTTGCAACATTATTATTATTATTATTATTATTATTATTATTATTATTTTTTTTGCCAAACTGTTTAAGAATACTTTACAGCTATCCTAACTCTTCATACTTGAATACTACTTCAGCATGTGCCCCCTAAGAACAAGAGTACCTTTTCTATAAGCATAGTACAAGGATACCATTGATGCAGTACTATTAATGAATATACTTTTACAGTCCTTACTCAAATTTCTCCAAGATTGTTCCTTTTTTTAAAGATTTTATTGGGGAATTGGGGGAGGGGAACAGAGTTGGGGAATTGGAGAAGGGGAAAGACAAGTTGCTGTCCTTTTGTTCTTCAGTCTAGTTGTGGAGGACTTTGCTTCAGTGGCCCATGTTGGTATTATCATTGTGCTCTTCCTGGGTGAGGCAGATCGGTCGCCGGCCACTTGATGGCCATTCATGGGGCCTCTTGGCAACTCATCCCGGCTGCCGGGAGCCCACTGCAGCTCCACTGCAGCCTACACTGTCTCCAGCGACTCATGGCAGTCCAGCTCTAGGTTGAGCTGTTGTTCACCATCTTAGCTGTAGAGAGCGCAGCGTCACTGGCCCTAATGTGGGATCCAAACGGGATCCCTGTTGCTCAGAGTTGGCACCACTCGGCCGGCCCTCCAAGATTGTTCTTTATAGCTGCCTTTTTTTTTTTAAATCCAGAATTTAAGAACTTATATTTTATTTTGTATTCAAGTTTTATTACTCTTCTTTAATCTATAATAGACCTATTTCTTCAGTTTTTCTATTCTTCTTTTAAAAGCCTTTTATTCTAATTCTTATTCTTGGAACTTTTGTTAGTGTATATGAAAGCCAGGAGCTTGAATTCACCTTTTTTATTGGGTTACCTCAAATCTATGTAGAAACTTGGGTGAGATCTTACATGTAGAAAAACACTACTTAAATAACCCCTTTTCACATCTATAGCTTTGAATTCTTTTTTTTTTTTTTTTTTAGCTGAGCCATCCTGTCACCTGTTGGCAGCTCAGCGGTAGCTCAGCTCAGGCTGGGAATCAAACCAGTGACCCTGTTGCTCAGAGCTCACACTGTTGAGCAAGCTCTTAACTAACTGAGCCACTCAGCCGGCCCTTATGGCTTTGAATTTTTAAATTTAGTAATCAAGTTGAAATAAAAACTGGCAGAAAACTATTCCAGTTTTCTATTTAGTCAGGTATCAGTCCAAACAACAAAAGAGGCGGTGAGGGAGAAGAAAGAAGTGAAAACTGTTTTTTAAATAAATCCTGTGGAATCATTTTGAGAGAGAAGTAATTACTGTTTTCATTTGATTCATCCTCAGCTATCAGCTCTTTCTGATAAGATCAGAACTGGCAAGCTGCATTTTAATCTTCATGAAAGATAAATTAAGAGCAAATACTTGACAATGTGAATAGGCAAAATTATTAATTCTTCAAAACAGCTGAGTCCTCTGAAACAACAGAATCTACTGAAAAAGTAAAGTCATTCTTTTGATGTTAAACATTGTCATAAGGGTAGAAATAGGCCTTAATGTGAAGTTGAAACACACAGACATGACTTCACAAAGTGTGCAAAATCTATCCCATTTTTTTTTCTTGAAAACCACTACCTTTTCTGATTTGACCAGTTGTCTAATTTAAACCATAGCTTTCTTTATAAACAGTTTTGTTTTGTTTACCTTTCTTATTTTTTCTCTTGCATTGCATACCTTTTATCATATTTTCATATTTGTTTGTTTGTTTTTCTAACCTCCCAATCAATGATACCTATTCCAGGAAACCCCCATTTTTCTTGGAGATCTCTTTCCTGGATCCCGCAATACTTTGGTGCCAAATTAGATTGATTCAGTCTGCTGCTTGGCTGCTTTCTTTGGATTTCCCATCCTGTTCTTCTGGATTGGATCAACTAGATTTGTGGGGGTGGGGGTTGGGGCTGTTCTTCATCCTAGAGTAATGTTTTAGAAAGGGTGTGTGGGAATTAAGTCTTTACATGTCTGAACATTTTTATTCTGTCCTTATATTTGATACTTTGTTTATAGAATTCTAGGGTAGAAAATCAAATATTGACAGAATTTATCTTTTAGTATTTATTGTTGATGATGAAAAAGTTGATGCTAAGCTGATTCTTCGCCATTTATAGGTAACTTTTTCTGTCTCCCCCCCCCCCCCCCCCCCCCCCCGTTCCCTTTTGGTCCTTTTCTGGATTTTTGGTTTTCTGAAATGTCACGTTGTTACGTAAACTTTAAAAATTTTTATCACTCTAGTTGATGTATACTTTGAAGATCAGCCCTGGGGAATTTTCCTTTTTCATTATTTTGAGAATTTTTCCATGTTTAGTATTCTTTCCATTTTTGAACCTTGTACTTATTACCCAGATTGATCCCTCGTGCTGTATCTTTTTCATCTAAAATTGTGCCGATTTTGAATTTTCATTTTGACAATATTTTAAATAGCTTGGTCTTTTCTCAATTAATTCCTTTTTCATGAAATCTTACCGCTGCTTAATAAATTTAATAGTTCTTTAATCTTTGAGAGTTCTAATTATAAAAAGTTAAATTCTGAAGTTTATTTGTCTGAGGTCAGTTTTTCTTTTATATTTTGAAGAGTACTTCAAAACTCTGTAGGCTTTCTACACAATTCTCCATTCCTGATTAAGAAATGATAAGATATGAGGTTCTAGGAAAGCAGATTGGGTGTGTGTGTGTGTGTGTGTGTGTGTGCGCGCGTGCGTGCACGCAGGATTTGTTCCACTCCAAAGTGTGTGGGTAGCAAGTCAGATATTCAACTAAGAGAGTTGGAGAAAGAGGGGTGTCATTTAAATGCCAAAATGAACAAGCAATTACTTTGAATACAGATACTCATGCTAGCAGCTCTAATTCTAGTGCTTGTCATTATGTTTGCATAAAATCTATGTATCATTATTATTTTAAGAAGGTATTAGAATTTTGGATATAACTGGAAGGAAAATGCCAAACTATTGAGTTATACAGCGTTTCTGTGAATTTCTTTATTTTCAGCTCCACTTCTTCCTGACTCTTCTCAGATTTGCCATTTCCAAATTGTAACTTCTTTAGGGTTCTGTTCAATAGGTTCTCCCTCTGTTCTGGTTCCATTGTGGCTTTTTTAGGCTGTTACTTTCTCTTCTGTGCTGCATGTTTCATTACTCTTCCATCTGCTTCTGGTTTTCCAGAAAAAATTTTACCCCATTATTAGATGACTTTCCTGCTATTTTCTTTGATGTTGAGGATTTATACCTTAAAAAAAAATTCCAGGGCCGGCCGAGTGGCTCAGTTGGTTAAGAGCTCGCTCAAGAGTTTGAGCTCTGAGCAACAGCGGTTCGATGCCAGCCCGAGCTGAGCAGCCGCTAAGCTACCAATAGGTAGCAGGATGGCTCAGCTAAAAAAAAAAACAAAACAAAACAAAAAAAACAAAACAAAACAAAACAAACAAAAAAAAATTCCAATGTGATCATTTTAATAGGTCTCAGGAGAGCAAAAGATAAACGTGTGCTTTTTGCCCTATTGAATTCATAGGTTCCCTATATATATAAAATACAGGTGATAACATTATTTATGTGGTCATCCAAGTGTGTGGCATAGTGGATTCGACAAATGGTGATTGAATATATTAGCTAGTTCCTGCTCTGGAACCATCATCTACTGACTTATCCTTTATCTATTATAGAAGTCATCTTTGTATCGTCTTGTCTTAGTCATCAGAGAATGTTAGTCATATAGTCTCTCTCAACTTTTTGCCACCCCTCTGCCATTGACTTGAGTCCTTTTACTTCTTACCTGCATCATTGTAATAGACTTCTTCTATCTGATCTCCCTGATCTCAGTCTTAATTATCTCTGCTAATTGGTACTTTTAGGTGATTTTTTTTTTCTTGATATTGATTTTCCCCCTTTGCCTGCTGGAATTGCCCCTTTCTTCCTTTTACTTAAAGATGATAATGAAGGGCTGGCCGAGTGGTGCGATGGTTAAGA